GCCAGGCATGAGAATTGCTAAGTGCAACCTTGTGATTTCGAGATGACAGCTTAATTTTCGGCGGCCTGGCACCTGCCATTCTCGCAGCTTTAGCACGGCCTGTGCTAGCTGTATTCGGTGGTCCATCGCGCATTGCTTCGCTACAGTCTCTGCCCGCTGAGCCTGTAGGCAACCGTCTACACCTGCACATGGTAGGTGGGGGATGATGGAACCCAACTTTCTTTTCAATCCCAGTCCAAGAGCGGATAGCCTACTTGTATGTTTAGAGGGCTTAATGCACTTCCAGCCTGCGGAATCATCGGCCTCCCCAGACAGAGCGCTTGCTTCTGTCTTCAAGGCCATAAGGCTAGCCTGCGTGCTGCGCGCTTCTGCAGCTGCGTGCCTGCGGTGAAGCTTCAGGAGTTCCTCATATTTGTCGCTGACAATCTGCAGCTTCCTTCTCGCATCCTCTTCGGGCACCAATTCGGCTTCAAAACGTGACTCCTCTGCATTCGGTGCCGTGCTTCTGCCTCTCAGCCACGAAGCTGGAATTTGCGACGGCATCGTCGAATCCACATCAAGGTCCGACTGACGCTGAGCACCTTGATCTCGATGACAGAACGGCTCCTTGCCAGTCATGCGTCTTCGAGCCGCGGCTTGCCGCTCGGAGCCAATGGATCCCATTCTGTGCGGACTTGCAACTGAAGCGCGGCGCATGGGATACTGTCGAAATTTGTCTGCGGGTGCACAAAGTGAGCAAGTTTTTTCTTTAGCTGCTGATGTGTGCTTCTTTTCATATGAGTGATTCTCATCTGCTGAAGGACAAGTCATGCCAGGCTGCGTTGCTATGTAATGATACTGGACAACTGCTCGTCAAACTCTGCGCACACCGTGAACACTATGTTGCCTTAGGACAACTCTTATGCTTGTACTAGCATGGGTTGCATCATCGCAATCGCTGCTTCCCCTGCAGTAGCAGTCTATGCGGGGCGACACTCTATGGGCTTACCTGATGCGCAGCCAACCTGAGCAGACTTTGCCTAGCTGACCCTGCTCAACGCTAGACTGAGCGGGCTGGAGGCTACTCGAGCACTCTTTGACTGCTCTCACTTCGCTTACATATCCCACAAACAGCTGCTAACGTCTTGTTCCTGACAGCTCAGCCGCTAGCTTGGAGCAAAAGCCAGCAGCGCCATCCCAAAGTGACACAGGACTTGCGAATTCGCAGTGGTGGTGGTGGTGGTGGTGGTGGTGGTGGTGGTGGTGGTGGTGATGGCAGCAGCAAGAACAATCTCCAAAGGACGTTTTGGACAGAGGCACATCGTGTCTTTGGCCGCCGAAGCTGCAGGATGCCCTAAGCCTCCGGAGTCCAAACGGGGGGAAGTTTTTCGAAGGCTCTGCGATACAGCATATGTGCACCCTAAATGCACATACCGGAAGTTGCCGCCTCTCTCCCCGAAATCTTCCAGTCTTTGACGCGCCCAGCCGGATCCGCATGCGCCTTATGTTGGACACGGTGCATACGCTGGATGATCGCACATGTATCTAGATACATGATTGCGGTAGTACTAGCTGTCCGGTCTCTTTTGTGACAGGATATGGCAGATCTCGATTCCAAGGCTTTGGCTGCAACTGGGGCAGGGCCCAACAGGGAGCAGTCTTCGAGGACTTCCCGTAGCCTTGGCTCAAGAGAAAGGCTGATGGCTACAATTGCTATGCGAAATCTTCTCTGGGATCTGGACTTCCTGCCAGACGCACCAGCAAACTGCGTCTCCTCTCATGAAGCAGCAGAGTTGACTGTGGATTTTCTTTGCGCACACTGTCGCTGCCACCCGATACATCCCATGCTGATGCAACGTCCCAAGCAAATGCAGGGGTTCAGCTTTTCTGCAGGGCATGGCAGGGGGTCAAACGATGGAACAGATTGGCAGAGGCCAATATGGCGCAATGTTTAGCGCCCAGTAGCGTATCGTGCCATGTGAACTACTACGGCCATGTTCATTCCGTTTGCAATGAAGTAGCAAGGAACTGTGTATTTGGCTATGCCAGCATCCTCCAGAGACTTACCTTCGGAAGCTCGGTAAGTGCTGCAGTAAAGCCTGCGCAGGATAAGGTATACTAGGGACAGACCACCTCCAACTTTTCCATTCACGAGGAAACCGAACATCAGCGAGCTGGTCATGAAAGGGGTCATCTGTTCAACCTTCAGGAACGAACGCAGACCCTTCCGGGCACACTGCCCAAGTGGCTATTCAGGTTTTCATTAATCACCCGCCTGATTCATCTGCGCCCTTTCTGCCAACTGCACCGCTTCTGGCTCCTTTTCTGGACGGTCTCGAATCGGCTTCCTCTGAAAGTCATATTTCTGCTTGATCACGCCAACAGCCATTACATCAAAGACCTTGGCTCTGAGCTGGAAGTTGGCCTACGGAAGCCCCATGGCCGCTATAGCCATACTGGTTTCATGCAATGCCGATAGGGAACGCTGTACGTTACAGACCACAATCCAAGCACGATGAATGTTGGCCACATCTCTGCAACGACGTCCTCTGGGAGCAGCCCTGGCTTCCGTCCACAAAGATATGATAATGCTGAGCCAAGCCCAGCATACCTGAATCACCAACTCTACGCCCAGACATGTAGTCAACATGCACCTTGAAACCATCAGCTTGTGAGGGAGGTGTTTTTATTACAGGCTCAGTTATTTTAGTGTCTTGCAAGAAAGTCAGAGAGCACGCGGAAGCCACCCTAGATACCAGATGCTTGTTGGTTGCATTCCCAAAATGACACCAACTGGGGGTGGACCGCCCATGGCTGGCAATTGAGCAGCTAGCTGCGAGCAAGCAGGGGGATCTTGAGCCTGACAAGGGCCTTTGAGTGCAAATCCGCAATTCCTTTCCGGTTGAGGTGTGCCCGCAACAAAAGAGTGAAGGGAGGAGATCCGTCAGATGTACGGGTGGATCAGCCAATCTCTGCATGCTTGATTGTCCTCCAGGCCCTTCCAGAAGAAGATGTAACAAGGCACACGCCTTTGCAGCATATCATGTTATTCAGTGTCATGCGCACATCAGAAAACACGCAAAACTTCACCTGTCAAAGCCATTCTTCTGTTGAAGACACTCAGTCTTGAATTGGTCAGCACAATGCTGCGAAGCTGGCAGCAACAATCAGCGCAGTAGAACTCGCAGACAGAAAAGAAATACATTCAGCACAGCGGAACGGATCTCGGCGGCTAACGAACCCTGACTGCTTTGCGCATGACAGTGTGCTGATGTGCGCTGCTTACTGCTTGGATCAGCGTTCACCCCTGTGTGGTTTGAGAGGGGCCTTCCAGGGGACGAATCACGTCTGATCTGCCAGGATCTGTTGACGAAAACGCTTCGCAATGGTTTGATGCCCTTTCTACGAGCAGCCTATGGTTTCACAGCAAAAACTGCCGCATGGCATGGTATTGATGTCACGTTACCATCTCCAAGGACCTGCAGCGCATACATCTAAGCTGTTTCGTGGAGCCATATTGTATATGAGGATACACACAATTAGTAAAGCCAATGCTTGAAACTTTCACGTACAAATTCAAAACATGTTACTAGGGTCACGCAGCGACCTGCTTTGACCTTAGAGGGTTTTTGGAAGCCACTTTCGACACTTTCGACCCACAACAGAATCCAGGCCCTACACATTCAACATAGCCCTGTTTTCTATGTCAATCTTGCTTCGTCCGGCAAACGATTTTCGCTAAGCCTCCTGCGTGGCTGCCCACCGCCTGGCAATGCCGGGAAGCTGGTTGACATCCGCACCTGGCTTGATCACATGACTGCGTGGTCAATCGAATTTGGGCGTATTAACTATTCCAGGCATTGCCGTGGGCAAGGCACTTCCAATTCAAACTGCAGACCCTGAAGGCTCTGAAGCCAAGGCACGCAGAAAAACCCAAGTTGGATACGCTGTTGCCAGAACCTGCCAAGCGATACAAAAGCTGCTTTGTGCAAATCACAGGCCCTGCTCTCCACAGACATCTTACCTCAAACTCAGCGCGCATGGCCGCGCTGGCTGCTGACCAGGCAGCGCCCAGCTCCAGGACGACCCATCTGAAAATCATGCAAAGCTACCAGCAACTCGGCTTCTGTCCCATGGGCCTTCGGCCAAGCGCTTGGAGGAGCAGGTCCAATTCCTGGCAAAGTCCACAGGAAGAGAAGCAACTTGACTGATGAACCAGCCTCCTCTGCTTGCAACTGCAAGACCAAGCCGGGATATGGAAGCGATGACAGCCGTGCTGCAACAGACGCGTCCTGAAGAGATTGGAAGGTTCTGATGAAGGCTAGCGAGGCCATGCCACCAGTCTTGCTATGGAATTGCACGGCGGTCCAGGGGACGAATCTCTGGACCAGCATAAGGCTCGTCTTCTGCGTACGCTTTGCTGGACATACTCCTGAGTTCATGTATGGGTGCCAGCACATTGGCGTTCACTCCAGGTGCCAAAGTCGTAGGATGTTGTGGGCAAGGATCACATCAGAGGAGCTCTTGGAATCCTTGGCATCCAAGTCAGGTCGACCCCTTCGCTTCCCTGTCCTTTTCAATGTATCTCCGCCTTTTGAATTCTCCAAGCGTCCTTCGAAGTCTGAGGCTCGTCTGGGTCAGCGGTGCTTGTCGGGAACTTAAACATTGCAGGGGACAGCCACCCGCAGCTTCATCTCATGGCACTGATGGCGACATGATGATAAGTCACGGGTCGCAAGGGAATCGCATGGAAATCGCATTTGCGCCTGATTCTGAATCAGCAATTTCGTGGGTCGCAAGGACTGCTTCATTTGGCAGCTAGTGAAAACGGTGCTCTGCAAGGCCTAAATCTGCTTCAATCCGCTGTGCCTGTTGGCTCACTTGGCAACATGTGCTAAGAACCTGTTTATGCCTGCAGTGCAAGCTGTGCGGAACAATTGAAGTGATGGTTGTCTAAACCACTCTCTCTTCCCCTCCCAGCGATACCAAATCCAAAATCAAAGCTCTCAGCTTTGGGGCACGGTTTGCTGGTGTTCCACTCGTTGGCCATGAAGTATCTGCGGCAAGAGTACAGGCTATGTCTATGGCTTGCAAGACCTTGCTCTTCTCAGCCGGCTGCCTGTGCTCCTCTATGAGGCCATGTCGGTTATCCTCGAAGATAGTTTGGAGCTTCAAATGCCGCGTGCCTCGCAAGGAGCTTGGAAGATATCTAACCCTAAAAATGCTGAAAAATCATTGAACAAATGCTCGCGCTGCGCTCGGGCGAGGCCTTCGTCTGACCCAGCAGCCAGGAAGGCCTAACTCTTTCACGTCGCATCACACTAGTAAAGTTTGAGTCCTGCACATGTTGCAAGCCGCGCCTTGCACACGAAGTGAGACATTTTGAACTGAAAGCAAACAAGGGGCACCTGCACACAGCATCTGCAAGTCGCTTCGTGTGCATACCAGTGCAAACAACCGTGCTCAAGTAGTCACAGCATCCAATTGCTAGCGCGCTGGCAAGCAGCTTCTTCGCATTGCTGCACCCAGGCCTCCTCACTTTGGTTTAGCTGGAAGGGACCCTCGATGCTCTGCGTATTGACTCTCTCGGACGCCTGACACACGGTGTCTGCACGTAGCAATCTCTTCTGTTCCATGCTCATTTTGGCACGTGCCCTTTCCACTACTTGTGCTTGTTCATGCTATTCTTACGGTCGCGGATCGAGCTCTGACGCCAAGAACCTCAGCCAAAAGGTGTGACTGGTGGAAGCATCAGCAAGAGTTCTCCGAAAGCAGTGTAGAGATCTTGCGAGGGCGACTCTAGCCCCTGCAAGCATGGCCCCCTTTTGGGCTCATAGCCCCCGCGCCGCAAGCTTCAGAGATAAGGAACTTGGGATGCAAGGATAGCTGACTTGTTGCCCAGTACGACATCCTTACTCAGCAAAGCATTATGCGGCCTACACAAAGACACACAGCTCCGTCGAAGTGTCGCATAGGAAGCAACAGCTCTTTCTTTTCCAGAAGGACCCAGGTACACCCGGGAAGGTACACCAGAGACCTTCAGCTGGCCAGGATTGGCATGCTTCAGTCAAGCTAAGTAATAAGCCATTAGCGCAGCGGCATGGGTTGAGTGAAATGCAAGTTGTCTAAACATGACATTGCCTTGACTAGCAAACCAAAAACAAGTCACTCAACTTCGCCTGCCACCTGCTTGGTACATCCGTGGAATCTGGCAAACAGAGCTTCGAAATTATCAACTGGCTTACACCGGATGCACCTGGCAGGTAGGCGGAATAGCACACATTGAATGTGCCAGGATGTGCCAAGAACACTGCGAAGCTTGCTACAAGCAGTCATTGCTGCAAGACTGGCAGGGTGCTAAAGACGTCAAAGCTCAGACTTGGAAGTCGCGGCAGACTTGACCCAGCGAGTCCACCTCAAGCGAACTTGCCGTTGAGATGACTTTGGCTGGAACACGAAGCCAGGCCTCTTTCTGAAGCCCTGCAAGCTCAACTTGACAGCTCCTTTCGGAGAGGGCTCGGTTGCGAAGGCTTCAAATCTTTCTTCTTGCTTAAATTGTTTTGGTAGCTTTTCTCCCTTTCATGGCAGTCCTGAGCTGCTCCTCTGTGGTGTTGTCGGCCTCAAGGCATTCACAAACTGTTTCGTCTGATCATCATTGCCGCTCACAACGCCGGGCTCGTGCCTTTCGAAGCTTGTGCCCACAGTGTCTGCAAAACACAGCCTCGGCATTGCGTGCCGTAATACTAAAGCACTTTGAAGTTGCCTGACAAGCATCCCTCAAAGCTGGGGGCGTCAGGTAAGACCTTGCCATTGCACTTAGGGCAGTTGGCATCCTGACCACGGAGCACAAATGAGCAAAGCCTTCCAGAGTTCTACGGCTGTGGTTCTCGCTCGCTCTTCAGACCCGTAAGGCCTCAGCGACTGTCCGCGAAGATGCCTTTTCAACACCTGTTCGCAACCTGAAGAGACGGTAGCACGAGCGTTATAATGTACCATCTGCAGGCAGCTTGCTGGTTTGGCCTCATTTGCTGTGTCAGCATCGCAACCTGCGACTTCGAAACTGGCCGAACCTAGCCAGAAATGCCGCATGCGACTGTCAACATAAGTCGTTTGCTGATTTGCATCGGAGCCAGATATTGAGTCACGGGCTACAACGTTCATGCCTGGAGCTGCCTCTACTACAATACACATCAAGCTATCGCATCAAAGCTTGCATGAGATATGACGCAAACAAGGTGCATCGTCAGCCCTTGCCGCTTGGAAAGGCTTGCCCTTTATGTGCAAAGGATGTGCAATGATGCGCAATCGGATTTGGAAGCCCACCAAGTACCCCTGCTACTTGCAACATGCTAGGACCTGCTAGGAGTGCCGAAGTTTCGCAGGGGCCTGGAATGGCACTGTGACTGAAAGACCAACAGAGCGCAGCCTTGGCAACCGCAGCTGCTGCTGCCTTCGCCATGGCCTCAGCCTCCAGACATGTAAACCGTACTCGGGCACATTGCTCGTGTGCTGGCTCTTCTGGATTGCCTCACTGGCCATGAACCGTGGAGTGCTGACCCTTGAGCTGTCCGCGCAGGCGCAGGCCTGCTCAAAATCTTCAAAAAATCTCAACAAAAAATACTAGCTTGTCTAGCCGAAAGCCAGGGGCCGGGCAGCAACAGGAGCTGGTGGAGTCGATGCCCGTCGAAAGGAAACCTGAATCAAAGACATAATCTAACAGGGATCAGCATCACTAGAAATTACTCTGCCAGACCTAACCCAGAATGAGGCTTTGGCATTTTCTGAAGAGTAGCTTCTTGGCCTTTGCAATGCCGGGCTGGGAGATCGAGAAGACCTGAGCTCAGCGAGGATGCCTGCTACCTGAAACCTGACTGTCTATCTCTCTCTCTCTCTCTCTCTAGACTCTGGGCATCTGTGCATCCGGAACTCGCTTTTGAGCGCTTTAATGCACTTTATAGCACTCTGGACACCCACTCCAAGATTTCTACGGCGCAGCCGCCCATGGCGTGCTCGAAATTGAAGTGATTGGCACCGTTGGCACCGCGGGTGTTCGCAGCACCTGCAGCAGACTTTGAAGCTGCCCTAAAGCAGGACAGCAGAAACGAGTGGCTGGGGCCTGCGGCACCTGCCACAACACCGGTGGCGACGGCACAGGAGTGGTGAGGTGTGCTGCTGCTGGCGGACTGCGAAGCTGCATGGGCATGAGTTGCGGGGTCGGCATGCTGTGGCCGACATATCGACAGCCCTGTGGTGCAGCCTAAGAAGCAACGTTCTGCAACAATGGAAGATAAGGCACTGAATAGTAAGGTGCGAACTGGGAATGCAGCACCTGCAAGCAGATTCATGCCTCCAACAGCAGAGGCAACTCGTACTCTCTCAGCTTGTACGCGCTCAATGTCATTTTCTTCCGCATGTTGCAGTCCATAGACAGAGCCTTCAACGATTGCTGAAGCCCTTTAAATGTAGTTATGCCTTAGCGCAGCATGGTTCGCGCTCTTCTTGCGCGGAGTGCGCAGGCCGATCAACGGTGCTGTAGCTGACCACTGCACCAGGACTTCTCAAAGCCAAGTTTTTGGCTCGGCTCGGATGGCATGGACTCCCACGTTTCTGGGAGCATACCAACCCAATGTAAACTTCTTTAATGATGGCACCTGGTCAGGCACCGCAGTTGCATGCTCACCAGGCAATGAAAGCAGCCAGCAGCAGCCAGGCCAAACAAACACACGTACAGCAAACAGAATGGCCTCCACGCTGCCTTATGTGGTCTTCTTGCATTTTGATAACGGAACGTTTTGCCTGACAAGGCGGTTTTCACACATGGGAAGCCAAGCGGATTGATCAAAGAGTTAACTATTGAGAATGATGCGCTTCAACCTGCGAGCACGAATTGCAAGCCAAAAGGCAGAGTCTCTATTCGATTCTCTGTGGGATCGAAGTACTTGATTTCGCACTTGCCGTTCTCCTCCTGAATGCTGCAACCGGGTCACCCACGGAATTGCGTGCATACGTGCACGACGCTAGGTTGTCAGCGAACCCTGCCAAGCTCAAACCTGCACACATTCTGCACGGCATTCGAACGCCCGAGGCCTTGAGGATGGTGGCCAGCGCGGCGCCAGCAATAGAATCAATGCCCTTTTTTGCAGACGCTTGAGGCTTGTGAACCCATGCGACCAGAACTACAAGCAGAGCGGAAACGCAGGGCGGCATGTGACCCAACCTCCACAAGCACTACGTCTCCGGCGCCCAGAAGCTCGTCCTTGATGGACTCCACTTGGCCACCTTCAACCTCCTGATCCTGCAAATTGATCATCAAACTACTTTGCTACACAGAAGCATCCCCATGTCCAAACGTGAGGATCATCTGCAAAGGGTCCTTTGACATGAGGTTTTCATCCTTAGATAACTCTGTTCAACCACACACCATGATGCACCCGCAGCGGCATGCAGCGGCCTGGCTCAGGCCCAGGCAAGATGCTTATCATGATGCGCAAATCCCCCAAGGTAGCGGTTCAGGTACGGTCCTTCAAAGATAATGTTAGTGTTGCTTTCAACGCCCTGCGACTCTGATGATCATCACATTGTCTGAGTGCCATTCGCAAGGCCAGAATCGGACCAGACAGAAAAGTTTTCCTGAACGCATCCAGCTGTGGCACTCTGCTACAATGCTCTCCGCCTGCACCTAAACTAGTCTGCTGCGTCATGGCCAGGTACAAAAGGAACTCACGAATGCCAGCTCATGTTACAGGCCTGACAGCATAAGCACCAAACATGCAGAAGAGTCTCTGGAGTTCAAAAATCTTTTCTGGAATCCCTTGTCCCAGCAGAAAAGTACACACCTGGCAAGCAACAGTACATTGGTAGCAGTGCAGAAGCTCATGCTAGTCTCAATGGTGCAGCACTTGTAACTGTTTCGGCACCTCATTGCTGAAGTGGTTGCAGCTATGAGTGAGCAGGTCGTATGTATGCAATCCTGTGTATTGCTCCTCAATTCACACATGGAACAGCAGCACGTTTCGTCCAGTACAGGGCGTCTCCTGGACGCCAGATCTGAGCCACTGGAGAAACTCCTGGACAAACAAATATGCATGTCTGAGACTTTTGACAGGCTGCTTAGCCAACTTTGCGCCTGGCCTCGTGCGTGACGAATGTGTACCCTAGTCGGACAACTGGTAGCTCAGGCATAGCCTCAGACCTAGGCACGACAGCGGAAGAGCCCCGCTTAGTTTGCAGCTTCATAATGCCAGAGTCATCTGGTGCTGGAAGAATCTTCCACACTGTGAAAGCTTGCCTACTGAGGGAGGGCGGCCTTAACAAAATGCTGCAAGACATGATGAGCTTGGAAGACTTGTGAAGCAGCTCCGGTGCACGTTCAGCAAGCTTATTGATGTTGCCATGCGAGCCGGTCAGAGCCACAAGTTGAACATGGAGGTGGTTTACTTCAACTCGTGGACTGGCGCTTTACCTTCTTTAGCCTTGCCAATTTGCTATTTGCCCTAACCCGGGCTTGTGCAGGAAACAGCAAGAATAATGCAAGAGGTGTTGTAGCAGAGCAGGCAGTCTGGGCATTGCTAAGCCGCCGACTGTTCTAGCTGAA